GCCATATGCAATGTTTTTTTATTATTATTATTATTGAGGGGGAAACCGCATTATCTCTTCTTTTTCTTTTTTTCTTTTTTTTCTTTTTTTTTTTTTTTTTTTTTTTTTATTTGAGGGGAGGGGAGGAGGGGATTATCTTTGAATTGTGAGAAATGGGGTGGTGGTGGGCGGAGCCAATGGCTTCCATTCGCTGAATGGCCGCCCCGCCCCTGCGCGGTGGAGGGGGCCGTCGCCCTCGTGTTGGTTTCATCAATGTGATTATCCTCTTGAACCACTTGCGTTTCTTTCCTCTTGGGGTCTTTTTTGTTTGTCGGGTGGGCCACCGTGCAGCGGCCGGCTCCCGGAGCGTTTCTCAGGGCCGTTAAGGGGCGACGCCGGAAGCTCAGAAATGGGCTGAAAGGAGAGTTGGAAAAGGATTGGGTGGTAGACGTCACATCGTGCAGGCATCATGAGAATACGGCCCATGCACGCATTTCACACGTCTGCTTATCGAGTCCAGAATCTGTCGACAGAAAGGCAACGAGGGGTTTGGCGACAGCCGTGGGTGCGTTGACTGAGCGAATACGCTGAAACACTCTGTCTATTGTTGCGTGCCCCTCAACGCTTGGAGAAAATGGAAGTTTGACTGCTGCCACAAACGACGACCCGTGAATGGCGGGATCGCACCGCACAAATCTTGTCATGGTGTCACCGGCACGTCCATTTGGAGACGATGTGTCGAATGTCTCAGTTTGGCTGCACAAATGATATTTTTTTCTACTAATATTTGCAGCCCTCCGAGTAGAGTGAAGGAATTTACTTCTCATTGCCTTTTGCTCTGCGCACTCTGGCGGTCATGATCGTCTTTGGCGTCGCTCTGCCATCTTGGGTGTGTTGAAGTCCCTCTTTTTTTTTTTCCTTTGATGTGTTTGTTTTTCCCCTATTGCCATGGCTTCTTTCCCGTCTCTCAATATCTCTGATTATCCCGCGTAATGGTCCGCGGTTGTAGGAGGGAGAGTGTTGAGCCTGGTGCACATCCATTCTGGCGGCGGGAGAAAGGCATCATGGATTCTATCCCTGTGGAGGCGTCTTCCAGACCTCTGCTTGACCGCCTGTTGTTGAAACAAGGCAGTACTGCAAAGCAACCGTTCACGGTGTCTTCTGCGCCCGCGGACATTCTTCGGGACACCGACACTTACGGCATCTCACTTCTTGCCTCTCTTGGAACATTGACGCGTGCCCGACAAAACCCCAGCGTGCTGCTGTGGCTGGACGGTGTTGCGAGACGACAGTTCCGCTGGAGAAAGAAGGACGCAACGGCTCAGCGTCTTTTCAGATGGGCGTCGCGTCAGATAGAGAAACGTGAAGCTCTCAAATTGCACCTCGATCCGGCGAAGGGTTTGTCTTTTCAGCCCGCCATAAACGGGAATTTCGTGATAAAAAGGCACGGGCTGCATGTGGCCCACGAGGATTTGGTGCAGTGGGAGCAAAGGCGTTTCAAACAGCTAGAGGAGAAAAATTGCAGCCAGCCCTGGCAGATGTCGCCTGGGCCGCAAAAGATACTGCAAGTGCGAGGCACGGTGGAGGACGGTGAGGAGTGGAGCAGGACAAACGGTGAACATAACGACGATGTATCCACGCCCCACAATACAAAGAGCAACTCCCGCCGTATCACGAAGGATTACCCCCCACTGCTGGAACGCATGCAAGACGACATTGCTGTGCGGCGGCAGCGTGCAGCTGAACGTGAGGACTACGCGCGGCGTGAGTCCGCCGCACTGCGGCTTTCACCGCGGCAGGTTGCAAATCAGATCAGTCGACTTTCACAACACGCCGATACGAAACGTGAACTGTTGTTTGACGAGGACGTGAAGTTCACGACGAAGACCAACGGAGAAATATTCTCGCCGCCAGACAAACCCCCGGGCGTTAGTGTTGCTATTGCTTCTTCATTCCAGCTCAGGCGACAGGGGGACGCCGGGCCTTCATCGGCGCCCCGCCGCTGTCCACCGCCTGAGATGCCAACGGCGAGGGCTGCGACTTCTCCGATTCAAATTAAGGCGTTCTGCGAGCGGCAGCGATTGTGGGAGACGCGTCGCCGGGACCGTCTCCGCTGCATTGGCGAAGAAATCAACGCCCGTAGAGAAGAGAAAGATATGGCGGAATGCACGTTTCATCCCACAGTGAACGTCTCGCCGTTGATACATACGCCGAGCTTCGAGGAAACCCGCAGTCTATCGATGCGTATCCCATTCGGTGCCCTCGAGTACAAGTCACCCACGCACCGCAGGCCACTCGATTACGAAGACATCAATGAGCTGCGTTTGCGCAAAACACCGGCGTCAGCAAACAAATTAAACGCGCACGTACAAGGCAGGAGAAACGCCTCTCTGTGTGGCAGGGCCGCCTCACGCACACCCTCTCGACGAGCAGGGAGAAGAAGTTACGTTGAGCTCCACACCCCTCGGCGGGAGGATTCAAAAAGAACTGATCGGAGCAATTTGATGGAGACATCGTCTGTCACAAGGCGGGCTTCCCAGTCTCAGAAAGATATCGGGAGTGGGGCGTTGGATCTGGACGAGCAGACACTTCTCGACCTGAGCATATGGTGGAAGGATCTTCTCATGCAAGAGCTACAGGTTTCGTGTGGCACATGTAACAAACGGGAGGACGACGCCTTTGACCTCCGCCTACAAGATTGGGCACTGGAGACTCCATTTACATGTACGCTTGCCCCACAAACGGTCATCCAGGCGCTACAGGAGCTAATTTACCTTAGCGCCGGCGAATCGAACGCCATGGCACTTGAACGCATATTTGGCAACGAGTCTTCATGGATTCAAACAATTTTACAAAAAGGGGGTAGGGTGACTTTTGCTCAGTTTATCGAACTTTACAAAAAGTTGTTGCACACAAAATAATGCAGAAATCAACCGTCAATTTGGAAAAAATAAACGTCTCTGCTTCTACCGTCAAAATGCTTCTTCAAGAAGCATTTGCATGTCCATGAAACGCACGTACACCCCATATCCTCCATTTTACTCTTCCTTTTTTTTTTTTTTTTTTTTTTTTTTTTGGTTGACACTCACTTGCTCTGCGAAAAAAGAAAACGTCAGCTCATAAATAAGGAACCAACCAATAACAACAGTAATATAATAAAAAAAGAAATCCAGGATACAAAGCACACTATGGCGAAGGTAAAGGATACAGCTATGATTGTTGTTGGTCTTTTGGGCTTTATCGCCGTTGCGGCCGGTGGCATTGGCGAGCACGTGCTGGGCCCTAAAATGACGCCCGAGATGCAGAAAGCATGGGGTCTTGCGGTGCAGTTCAACCTCCTGCATGCCACCGCGTTGTTGGCCGTCTTTACCGCCTTGAAGGGCGTTGATCCCGACGGCTCTGCCGCCAGGCGTCTCAACCGTGCGTTTCATCTTCTGCTTTTGGGCACCACTCTCTTCGCTGGCTCCATTTACGCGATGGGTTTTGGTGTGCCGGGCAAGGTGATAGGGCGGCTGACACCCGTTGGTGGTGTGACGCTGATGCTCGGATGGCTCACCGTTGCCCTCGCCGGCTTCTGAAGACATTTATTTTACAAATAGTTTTTCTTTTTTTATTTTTAATTTATTTATATCTTTTTTTAAGGATGAGGAAGAAATGTTCGTAATATGTGGGTGTAATATAAAATTTGTTTTTTATTTTTTTTTTATTTATTTAGTGTTTGTTGTTTATTTATTTATCATTATTTTTTTTTCTTTATTGGGAATAAATAACTAAGCCTTTTTTTTTTTTTTTAATTATTATTATTACGCCCCTTTGAAACCCTTTTTTTTTTTTTTTTCTTTTTTCTTCTTTTCTGTGAAAATTTAAATGTTGATTGGATTCCGGTACTTTTTGGGGGGGCTGTGTGTTCTCTTCGGTGCGTCCTTTGACGTCTCTTGCTGCGAATGCACAGAGAGGCTCCCACCCTGCAATTCACGCGGTGCTGGTGCTTGCCTTTTATTTTATCTCTCCCTTTTTTGTGTGTGTGTGCAGTTGCGGTTCGGCAGAGTACGGCGTGAGGAAAGGGACGAGGTCGCAGGGAGGAGGCGAAGAAAACACAAGAAAAAGGTCTTGGAGAGAGGAGGAGACATACATATATACATTACACAAATTTCGAAGATGATGGCCAGAAAAACAGTGACAACGGACGTGGACCCTATGTTGCAGGACACATACCTGCAGGATGACTCAAAAGATTTTCTCCCAACATCAGAGGCGCTAGATCGATTTGACGCCCAGTTGGCGAAGGGGGAGCCAGTGCACAGTGAACCCTCATTGAAGAGGCGTATGCCGCAGGCTCGTGGTGCCAACAGCTTGCCTTGTCGTCGTAGCTTTGAAGCGGCCTCACAGCAACCTCAACAACAAAAACAACAACAATTGTACCAACAGTATTGTGGTAGGCGGAGTAGCAATGACGCCCCCTTCCAGGCGAACAAGGGATTGCCTGAAGAGGCACAGGAGCGCCTGGAAGACATTGAAGCGGTTCGTCGCTTGGGAAACGATATGGCTGGAAATGACGATTGATCCCTCTCTCTCTCTCTTTTTTTTTTTTTTTTTTACTTTATAAGCGGCACAGCATTTTTTGTTATGCAACTCTCAATGCCCTTTTATCCATCGCTGCGGTGAGACACAAAGTATTCAAGGTGTTTTGGCAGGATGTTCACCACTTTATGGGAGATGTCATTCCTCTGACAATTGGGGAGAGGAATGTGGGGTGTGCTGATTCAGGCAGTCAGCCGATGGTTGGACGGTAAGAGGTATATTTGCGCGTATTCATGGATTACGCATGCTTTTGGTTCATTATGATATATATATATATATTATATTGTTTGTCTCTTTTCCTTTGGAGGTTTCTTCTTGTTGGCTGGATTTTTTGACCCCTTTTTTTTTTTTTTTTCTTCCTCTTTATATTCTATTACGTCCCTCTTTCTTTATTGTTGCCGCGGTGCGTCGTCACAAAGAGAACACAGGAGGCACCACCTGCTGTCTTTGCTCACACTCGCATCGCTTTGTGTGAATGGTGCACACTTGTTCCAATGTGTGGAGTTTTTGTAGCCGCTGATGCGCTTTTGAAGATGCGAGCCGAACTCTTGGAAGCCGCTCATGCGCGCAAGGCGGCGATGTTGGCGTTTGAGAAGCAACGCATTTCTTTGTTTCAGGACGCCTCTGAGGTGCAGAAGCTTTTGGCACGTATGGAAAAGGAAGATCTTTTTTGGAAGCTGTGGTGGAAAAAGTTATTTCTTCTTCAGGCCAGGCTTTTATCCCGTGTGGCTCACCAACGATTGGTTTTTGGGGCGGAACGAGTTAGTCACGGAAAGGGCGTCTTGGCGCACCTGGTGATGTGTTCGCCTCGAGTACATCTGAGTGTGGTGGAAGGAGATGAGGGCTGTGTCCCGCAGGAGTGCATGCATGTGGGCATGGGTGCCATCCCCGTTCTTCGTAATACTGGAGTAGAGCTTCAATTTCGCCTTGTTGCTTGCGGCGCCAAGGATAATGGCGGTGGATATTGGCAGGAGTTTAACGAGTATTATTTTAAGAGAATTCAACGAGTCCCATTTGTTCTGACATATATTGCAGGGAACGGGGGGCTCACAGAGAGCAGCAGTATACTTGCGTACGCTGAGACCGCGACAGATGGCGGTGCTGCCTGCATAATAACGTTTCCATATGTCCTCCTTGATGATGCTGAAGTCAATTCCTTTCACACCCTGCTCGTCACTCACCCTCGCACACAGTATGGCATTATTCCACCGTTGGAGGTTACACTTCTTCTCTTGGCACCTCCTGCTATTGTCGTGAAAGACGTGTCGCTCGATGACAAACTCACGCATTTGGAAAGTCATCTCAAGTACCAAAGAAAAGATGAATTAACTCCTGCTTTCAGAAGGGAACTTCAAGTGTGTGTGGAGGTCTGTACTGATGAAATTGTCACGCAAATGGTGTTTGAATGTGTTGAGAAGGATCCTCAAGGGAAAAATTACTTGCTGGGAAGGAAGCAATTGGATGCGGGGGCTTGCAAGAGACGCTTTTTGGAGGAGGGACACTGGATATTCCGTTTTTGCATGGCGATCGCGGTGAAAGATGAGCATGATGAGGCAGGTGTGGCATTGACGGTGGTGGTTGAAGTGACGCTGGAGTCCATGCCCCATCATGTCTTCCGTGAGTTTATTCCAGTGGTTTCCCCTTTGGAAAGGAGAAGTAATAACGCCCCTAACCGCCGCACTGCAACCTTCTCCAGGCGTTCCGCGAGTACGAGTTCCCAAGAGGTTCCTCATCCTGCTGGTACCTTGGAGGCCAACGCCACGGCAAAGGATGATGAAGATTTTTTTGAACTCTTCAGGAATGACGAGAAGAGGGTATTAATAATGGCAAAAGATGATGAGGTTCCAGTTTTACGGAGTCCGTTGCTCGACCAATCAAACTCAACTTTTAAGAACATGAATGAAACTGAATGGAATATGCGACCAAAGTCCTATATCCTTGATGAACATGGGGTCATTGGCCTCCCACTTCTGAATGAGACATCCCCGATGAATGTGTCTCCGCATCTTGTTTGTTATCCGTACAATTCCATGGGCGCGCCACGTAGTGGTGTTGAGGTGCCCATTCTTGGATGGCAAGAGACACGACACGGAGTGACAGTGACTGACGATTATGAAAAGAGGCCACTCTCGTTGGAATGGGCGTTGGAGGGATGTGAGGATGCACCTTTTTTCTGGCTGTTGCGGGGACCTGGCGGTGAATGTGTTGTCTTGCATCGTTCCAACAGAAGCAGAACCAATAACAGTATGGAGGCCTGTTGCTTTAAAAGTTTTCCTCCGTTGTCGCCCCTTTCACGCGTCGTTGCCGTCGATGCTAATTGTCGTAGTGCCAATGACTACGTTGTCAAGTCGATGTTTTCAGCTTCACTGCAGTGTCTTGTGTGCCAATGGGCTTCTGGTAGACTGACCTGCACTGAGCCTGGAGGGGAGTCGATGACACTTTTGGACGACGACGACGGTATTCTTGCCACATGCACCTGGAACCCGGACGAGGAGGAGGATGCATCTCTCATTGTGTGTTTGCAACACGGTCGTCGTTTCTTCGTGTACTCCCTTGATGACCGGGAGGTAATAGTACACTCCAGCCTCCCTTTGACGTGCTCTCCCCGTCGGTGTGGACGACGGAGAG